CTCTTTTGAAGCTGTTGTTGGGCGAAAGCGAAGGTTGCTTTCAGGTGCCGGTGCAGCTCATCGAGGTACTGGTGAGTGGTGCAGGCTGTGATGAGACCGGAGTCTCCTGGCTGATACAGCAGGTGCAGTGGAAGTGTCATCTGTCGTCCAGTCATTAGTTCGAAGGGAGACACCTGAGTTGAGTCCTGTGGTGTGGCCCTGAGAGCCATTAACACCAGCGGGAGTTTCACGTCCCAGTCTTTCTGGTTGGCAGCCACATACTTTCTCAGCATGCTGACCACAGTCCGATTCGAACGTTCGACTTGGCCGGATGAAATCGGGTGAAAACTCACGTGTAGTTGAGCTTGGACCCCCAGGAGTTTCCAGATCTGCTGCATAATCTCAGCTGTAAAGTGAGTACCTCTGTCTGAGTTGACACTCATTGGCAATCCGAATCTGGAGAAGATGTGATTCATCAGGAGGTATGCCGTGGTCTGAGCGGTGTCGTTGGGTGCTGGAAGACACTCTACCCATTTTGTGAACTGGCACACGACTGTGAGGAAGTACTTGTTGCCCTTCGTTGACCTTGGCAGAGGCCCTACCCAGTCGATTTGGAGGTTTGACCATGGGAAGGTGACCCTTCTGCGTTGCAGCGGAGCTCTGTGGTTCGGATTTGCAGGTTGGAACTGGCAGCAAATTAGGCATTCTTTGACATATTCCGCTACGTGCTCTTGCATGCGGGGCCAATATGCCACTTGCTTCAGTGTCTTATAGGTGGCTCTGGTGCCATGATGTCCAGCACATGGCGCGTCGTGGGCGTATATTAACATCACCCCCCTTAGACACTGAGGGACCACCAGCCGTGGCGTGGTGGTGTCATCAGGTGTATACCACAGAATGTCGTTAATCACACGCAGCATGTGCTTGATGTCGTGCAGTCGTCTGAGGCACGGGTTGTCAGTGAGATCAGACTGTGTGAGTGGGTGGTTGGAGGGGTCAGCTAGGTGGTTTAGGAAAGTCTTTATGGACATGTCAGTGGCTTGCATGTCCGCTATGTCGTTGTTTGAGATCTGCGGGGTCAGAGTGAGAGGCTGAGAGGCGGGCAGTGCAGCAGGAAAGGTACGTTTGCTGCGGGTTAGTGCTGCCACATCAAAAGCCGGTGGTTGGGCTGGAGGTGACCATGGGTTACCGTGCAGTGCGCCAGTCTTGGCAAGGGCATCGGTTTGGTCATTCATGTCCTTATCGAGGCCTGGTTGCTTGGAGTGGCCTTTCACCTTTTTCCAGTAGACGATCATGTCGTGTTGTCTAGTTAGGTCATCGCATGCCTGAAACAAGTGTTGGTGTTTGACAGGCTTACCGTTCGAAGTCTTAAAGCCATTTTGTTTCCACCCTGGGAGGTGGCATGTGAAACTTAGTCTGGCATAGTTCGAGTCTGTGCAGATCAGGAGTTCTTTGATGTCGTGGGTCGCTGAGATTTGCATAGTTATGAGAATGGCTGCCACCTCAGCATATTGTGATGACTGAGGCCCCAGCTTGAAGTGTTGAGGTGGGCAAGGGAAGTCATTTACCCATAACACACCCGCGCCAGCTTGGCGGATGCCCTCTTGGTTGTAGGAACATCCATCGACGTAAGCTGTGGGCATACCTTGGCACGTGTTGTCTTCGAAGTATCTGTGACACGTCTGTGGTTGTGGTTCTTCCACATTAGCTGTCACAGGTGGTGCGTTATCAGAGCAGTTCTGGCAGGCAGCCAGGCCGTTGCCTAGCGCTGACTTGTGGTTCTGGGCATATCTTGCCTCAACATTGCGCCCTTGGAGGGCCATCAACCACGTGGCGATGCGGGAATTGGTGACCACGCCATCGCGGATGCGTTGGCTGTTGAGGAACATGACAGGCTGGTGACAAGTCTCAATGATAACTTTCTGAGCTCCAATGTAGTTGGAGAACCGTTGTATGGCCCATACAGTGCAAAGCAGCGCTTTTTCACAGTCTGAGAATTTAGTCTCTGGTGGAAGGAGTGTCTTGCTGGCATATGCTACAACTCTTTTGTCTTGATCGTGTCGTTGGTACAGGCCAGCGCTGAGACAGTGGTTGGAGAATCCGGCTTCTAAGTAGAATTCTCTTTGTGGGTCAGGGTAAGCCAGACATGGAGCTGTGCACAGGTGACGTTTCAGCTCAGTCATGGCATTGTCCTGGACGGCTGTCCAGACAAACGGGCAGTCTTTTTTCAGCAGGGCAGTCAGAGGCTTTGCAATGTCTGAATAGCTTTCGATGAACTGCCGTGAGTAGTTGCACACCCCCAGGAAACTTCGCAGTTCTGAGAGGTTGGTGGGTGGTTTGATGTTTTGAACAGCTTGAATGCGGCTGGTCTGTGGTTCGATGCCCTGTGACCCGATCAGTAGTCCCACGTAGTTGACCTTGGTTCGACACCATTGTCCTTTGTGGAGGGCAATCTTGGCTCCCGCAGCTGATAATTGGTTCAAAACATAGTCTATTTCTTTCAGGTGATCGGTTACTGTTGTGCTTTTCATCAGCACGTCGTCCACATAGATGAGGTTGCCTCTCATCCTTGCATCGGGGCATGCTTTGTTCAGGAAGATGTTAAATTCGGCAGGTGAGTTAGCATAGCCGAATGGGCACCTGGTGAAAGTGAATTGTCTGTTACCGAACGTGAAAGCAAGCTTGTGCTGATCATCTGGATGCACAGGTATGGTCCAAAACCCTGAGGCCACGTCAAGTGTGGAGAAGATTGTGGCTCCCCTGATTCGGGGTATTTCTTGCTCTAGCTGGGTCATGGGCCATCTTGACAGAGGCACCTGTTGATTCAGTTTTCGGTAGTCGATGGTGGGTCGCCACTTGCCGTTTGGTTTGATTACCGGCCAGATAGGAGCAGAATAGGTGCTATTGCATGGGCGAATTACACCTTTTTCAAGCATAGAGTCAATGATTTCTTGCACCGGTTCGTGTGATGCGATGGGGATCTTGTACTGTCTGACGAAGGTGGGAGGAGCCTCAGGGGGCGTTGGAATGCGCACGGTGTGAAGGTGGGTGAGACCACAATCTAGAGAGTCTGTGGCAAATGACGCTTTGAATTTGTAAAGGACTTGTCTTAGTCTTTGTAGATCTTCATCCTCTGTGATTGCATCGGCGTCTTTTAGAATTTGCTGAACTTGGGACTCAAAACCTGGATATGGCTCCTCTGTGGGTGAATCGCCTGTTGTGTTTGCAGGCGCAGGTGCAGGAGTTGCATCAGTCTCGCAGGTAAGTTGTTTGGAAACTGTGTAGACGGCAAGGTGTTTGTCCTCCGTCAGTTCCGTTCTGGAGACTTGATCTTTGTCCATCGGCATGACAGAGGCGATGGAGATGATCTTGAAAGGTGCTGTGCGCAGTGTGTCGTCTATGCACCCTTCGGGTATCATTGAAACCGGAATTGGCCCAATGACAGGTAAAGTAGGTTCAAAATCAGGAAAGTCATGGCTTACTAGCCATCCTAGCCGATAGGCTTTTGGAATTGTGATGTCCACTGCAATGCAGTTGTTGAAAAGGATGTAGATGGCCCGAGATGACACTTCAGTGAGGGGTGTGGCCTCAAGTGTGAGTCCAAGTTCAAGGCATTCGGGCGAAGGTTGAAAGAAACCCAGTGTGTGGTTTAGGACTTGGCCACACCGTATGTTCAATCGAACAGCGACCCCTTTGGTGTAAGCCGGTACTACAGTTGCTTGTTCGCTGATTAGGGTGCAAACCTCTGGGATGGTTTGGCCTGACAGAAGATTGTCAGTGTGTGTTGGAACAACAGCTGTTTGTAAAGTCAGTGGGGCCCACAGTACCTCGTTAATAAAATCCACATGAGCCTGGAGGCGAATCAGAATGTCAGCTCCAATGTAGACATCGTGGGGCAGATCCGTAATGATCAGGAAGTAATGAGTTAGGCACCGATGGTTCCAGTTCAAGTTCAAAGCACAGATACCTTTTGCAGTCACCAGGTTTGAGGGGCATGAGTTCAAAGGGAAACGTGTGCGTTTGCTGGCAGAAGGAAGGTCTGGCGTGACTTTACTTAGCTCGTTGAAAAATGGCAAGCTGACAGCGCAATTGTCGGCCCATAGAGCGAGAACAATGTCTGTGGTGGTTATACCATTCAGCTGTAGTTCGGTGTTGGCCTTGGGGCAGAAGGACTCAGAGTCTTTGGTGAGTTGAAAAGTGCAGAGTAACGAACTTGAATCTCGGTCAGGTGCTGAGTCTGTGTCTCCCTGGCTGGCGGCGAAAGTTCCCGTGACCTCTGTGACCTGACAGTCTGGCTCAGTTGACCTGGGTGGCTGACAGGGGAGGGGTTCTCGCACTTGAGCCCAGATTTTCAGTTGTCTGAAATCCAGCAGGGGCTCGAAGCGATCTAGTAGATCTTTGCCGATGAGGAGGGGGTACGTGTCCATTGGTGAAATGTACACAGGGTGTAATAAACCCATGGGACCAAGTGTTAAGTGAATCGGAGCTATTCTTTCAAGCCGAATGTCAGTTTGGCTGTAAGATCGCACATTCAGCTCACAATTCTGAGATTTTAGAGTTCTGTTCTGTCTGCTAGCTTCAAATCTGAGTCTTTCAAAGAGTTCGGCTGATATCAAAGTGAGGTCCGATCCGGTGTCGACCAGAGCTTCGAGCTTCACCACATTTTCCACTGTGATAGAAAGATAAAGTTTGCGTGCTAGTCCTTTTTCGACCAGGTTCCCCAGGAGTTTTAGTGTCGGGGCTTGTGTGGTGATAGACAAACAGTTAGGGTCGGTATCTTGGGCTTCGTTGCGGAGACACACAACCAAAACTGCACTTTCTGGTATCTCAGGGGTTTGCTCACTGGTGTGATGGGTTTGGTTGTCCGCATCTGGATGTGCGGTTGACAATTGCAGCGAGTGGGTGTCATTATCCCTTGGTGTTGTGACAGCTGGTTCTGTGGTTTGTGTCAGGAGAACAGTGTTCGTGGTGCTTGGTTCAGTAGGAGGGCTATCAGGAAGGGTGTTACTCCTTACCCTTAGTCACGAGGAGTCTGGCTTGTCCCCTTTGTCGGTTTTCTTGTGAAGAAGCCCTTGTAGAATCTTCAGGATCTCTGCGGTCTCTGACGTGGACTCACTTGTTTCTTTTGCAGCAGGCTCGGATTTGGACTTGGACCTGCGTGAGGCCTGCCGAGAGGGAGTTTGGTGTGGGCTGTCTGGACTAGGCGTTCTTGTCGCTGGAGTTCGGCTCTGTCTGGGCCGTCGGCTGGTTTCCCACGTGGCCCCCCCCTTTTGATTGTGGGGGGGCCGTGGGGTGCCGTATGATCTTTCAGAGCGCCCGCTCTGGTGCTTAGGACGAGCACCCTCACGGTTGCGTTGCCCTCTGCTGGCTTGAAACGGTCTTGACTCGTTATTAGAAAGTCTGTTAGTGTGGTGTTGTTGGGTGCCCTCTAGTGCCAGCTCTGAGTGCTGATTAGTGATAGGGCAGATAGAGGGAGTTTTGACAGTCTTTTCAGAAGCAATTTTCTGCTTGATAAACGCTTTGTGGGCTAAATCTCGCAGTTGCTGGGTACTCATTGTGCGAGGGCAGGCCAGGACTCCTAAGTGATGGCTCACTGTGGGATGCAGGTTTCGGAGAAACAAAGTTCGGAAGTTAAAGTCCTCTTCCATCCCGGGATCGTTCCTTGACCCAAAGTAGGCCTGTCTGATGCGAGTGTAAAAGGCCTGCGGAGTTTCTAAACGTGCCTGCTTGAGGCTCATCGCGGTGATGAGTCCTTGATCAGTGTCTGGATCAGAGAATTCCCTGATGAATGCCTGTCGCAGTTGCTGATAGTCCGCCTTAACTGAATCTGGTTGGCGATCCAGAAAACTGCGTACGTCCCGACTAGACGTAATTCGAAGCAGATATAATCTGTCCCACGGGGTGACGTGGGGAACAGTGTATAAGTGGAAGTCAATGTCTTTCAAGTAGGCATGCACATCATGGCCTCCGGCAGGGTTTGGGGTGAAGGTAGGAATATTCCGGGCCAACTTATCAAGTTCCTTAAAGGCCATGCCGTGATAAGTGGCCAGGGCTGTCTGGGGCGCCCCTCCTTTTCCTGAGGGCGAGGGCTCTTGTAGACTGTCCGTCGATATCTGGGACGGGGGCCGTTCGCTTCCCTTCACAGTTCTGTGTTCTTGGCTGAAGTGTGCAGACTGACCGGTCGGGGAAAACTTGGTAGTGTGTGTCCCTCTTTCCGGGTCACTTTGAAGTTTATAGGAGTGTTTTAACTCACGGTGGACAGCGTCGAGCTCATCTTTATAAAGTTCTTTTTGCTGGATAAGTTCATTTATTTCAGCTCTGGCCGCCTTCAAGTGTTTCTCACAGGCTTTGGCTTTGGCGTCTCTTTCTTTTAGTTCATTGTTTGCTCTCTCAAGGAGAGCTTCACCTTGTTGCAGTTTTTCGGTGAGTGTCTCTCTGGCTTTTCTTTCTTTTAGTTCCTTTTGGTCGGTGTCTAGACGAAGGTTTTCCAGAGCAGTTTGAAGTTCCTCTACTTCCTTTCGTGGCTCTGAGTCCGTTTCCTCCTCGTCCTGCTCCTCGTTCTCGAGTAGTAGCTGGTCTAGCCGACTTTGGGTCTTTGCTTGGTCGCGCCGGGCCTCCTCCGCTTGGAGCCGCAGAGTTGCCGTCTCCTGTTCCAGGTTGATGGCGTGTCTTTCGTGGAGGCGGGCTTGTGCGACGAGCGTATGGGCCAGGTTTCCCATGATTCGGGCCCATTCTTTGTGGTTGTAGCTCTGGGTTGGGTCATGCCTCATCAGCGAGTCCAGGTCAGTGTCCAGCTGCGCCTGATCCCGGGGCTCGGAGTCGCCGGTATCCCTGGGCAGGACGGTGGCTGTCATGGCATTCAGCCATGTCTCGAGGCTGTCCCAGTGGGCTGCTGGGCTGGGAGACCGGGACATACTGGCCACTGCGGGCGAGAGGAGCACAACACACACACGCACACACAGACCAAATGCGAATTTGTTCTACAATTTATGCGCTTATACCCTTAATACGGGCGATGCCGTTTACGGTACTTTGACTAACTGTTGCAGACAGTTAGGTAGGGACAAATTGTTTAGGTCAGCGCAGGGCCTAAATAAAGATTTGACAGGGCCGGAGCCTAGTAGGTCACTGTTGGTGCTACCGGCTCGGCTGTCAGTCTGTTATTCAGCTCTCCTTTGGTGTCTCTGTAGGCTTCGTCTCTGGGTGACCTGGTAGGCACAGTTCACACAAGGCAGAGAGAACTAACAGAAGAATAGTAAGAAAAAAAACAAAAACTTAAAGGGAGATTAGACAATAGGAATTAGTGGATCTGTTAAAACAGAGTAAACAGTAGCACAGAAAGAGTTACGGGGACTAAGAGGGCTTGAGCCGACTATGTGTGGTTTTCTTTAGAAACGGGGTGGACACTCTTACATGTCACGTGAGAATATGTAATATTCTGGTGGCTTATACTAAGGGGATGACCTTTCTTTACCTTAATTTAGCTTGCTTGGGGTGACCTGAAATCACGCTAGCTGGAGCCAGTGTCGGGGACAACCTTTCCGTCGCTCCAAGCACTTAACCGGGGTGTCCACGGCCTCAACTGTACGTCAACCACGGTGCGCCCTCTCAAACAACCTAGACTTTAACACAACCGGCACTCCCGGGGAGATCACCTGCTTACGACACTGCAAAGAGGACTTTTCCTCAGAACCCTCTTTCGAGCGGTCCGCTTTGAGTACTGTGTCCGAAATTGCCTTGTGTCTTATTGCGTGGTGGGTCTTCCCCTTTTGGGAGCGCCAAATTGCTGATGTCTTATTGCGTGCCGCACCAATGGAGAGCCAGGAAGTTCCGTGACTCACCCACAGCAAGCGTTGGTTACGCCGGCCAGACAGCCCCGCTCACTGGAAACCAACCAGGAATGACGGTCAGATCACACCAGCGCAAGGGAGTTCTACCTGTGGATACCAAATGTGATAGAGGAAAGTGAGACTAAAATTACTTAAAGCTTACTTTGTCTAAACCAAATGGAGTATCTGTGTGTGTAGGAAATACAAAACCTTGTTGCCTAATGCGAGTGAAGAAAACAGAGGGATTTGTGACACTGTTGTCAGTTATCAGAATAACCTATGGAGAAGGGTTAGTGAGTAAGGCAGGATAAACACAGGAGTAAGTACGCTGTAGTGGCGGGTTTGAGCCACAAGAGGGGGTATTTTCCAGTGGTTAGCCTGGTAGAAAACAAAAAGTCAACTGGTGTAAATTCAATTCAACTAAGCGTGTACGGAGATGTTGAATAACACCTAAAATAGCACGCGTGTAGTCGTGATAGAAATATCACTAAGAGACGGCAGGGGAGAGTAAAAAAAAAAAATAATAATAAATTTTTTTTTTTGGAAGAAAATAAAAATATATTTATTTTTTTTTTTCAAAAAAAAATTAATAAAATTTTTTTTTTAGAAAAGACAATTAATACAAGTTATCAACTTATTAAAACAAATTATCAAACTCATTAATTTATCGAGAAAGAGAAAAGGTAAAAATGTTTAATAAGACATTGATTTATCTGAGGGACAATCAATAAACTTATCTGGACAGAAAACGAAATCAAGTGGAATTATTCGTAACCTAATTCATAAAGTGAAGTGAGAATTTAATTCAGTTTTACCTTCAAAGTTTTTCTTTAGACCAAATCTGAATGAGACTATGAAAATTAACGGATGGGATTATTTCTAATGCAAATCACGATCGCTATAAAGTATCAATGACAGCCTTAGAACAAACCCAACTGAAAACAGACCGAAATTTCAAACAGAATGCAAGGATCACAAGGAACTGACTCAGCGTTGGAGGCCCTGAAGGGGGCGTCTTTTCCGTGAGTCACTTCCTGTGAGGAATTAGAAATTACTTAGAAAAGAAAATTCAGGAAAGAGTGACCTTATGTGAGAGCGTCCATACGGTGGCGCTATTGCGCTCACGTTGATGAAGAGGGTGTGGCGGTGATTTGAGACCGAGGCGCAAGGCTGCGCTCTAGTGTTCAGCAACAGAATCACAACCACACTGCTTCAATTGTACCTTTGTGGGGCGCGCCAAATCTTAACTGCACACAATTTAGATTCAGGCGGATTTTACGGTGCTATGTTTCACGGGTTCACGAGGCAGACTTATTTCACTGCATTTACGTGTAACCGGACCTACAGATTTTACGTCTGTGGTTTAACTCCCAATACATTTATCATTTAGCACTTTAATGATTGAAATGTTCTGGTTTAACCTTTGGTTAGCTAAATCAAAAGTTGAAACCAGGAGTTTAATTCGTTTAATCTAACGATTAGAAAATCAGGCCTTGTTAGGTTGAATTACAGGAGCATCGCTATAATTCAGATCCTCTTCGACTCTGCTCAAAAGATTCTCGTTTTGCAAGCAGGCGGTTCCAAAAGCACATATATTAACATGTAAACGTCTTTACAGAGGTAATATCTCTTTTGTTATGAATTACAATTTATTTTTAGCAATTACAATGACTAAAACGTTTAGACGAATTTAGCAAGTTTGTAATGTGCTCGGCTGAAACTCGACTTTCAGCTTCCAACATGCGCGGCGCGCGGCGCGCTCGCGTTTCTTAATCCAAAACACAACAAAATACCAAATTGACACTGCATTAATTGCTCACACAACAAAGCTTAAAATATTGCCCGCATTCTCCACCATAAATATGTAAGGAATCTGGGGTTCATAAGCTCTTTAGTCAATTTTGATTTTGGGGATAAATATTCAACAGTTATTAATCTCTGATCAACAAATTATCGAATATAGTTTGAACCGAGTCCTTGCATAGATAAATCACCCAACTAGGGGTTGTACAGCATATACGTCTGTTCAGGGCATGTATACCACAATTAACACAACGAATTATGATTAATTATGAATATACATCCCGCACAGAGGGCTATGACTAATCTTTAAAATTACCACAGCGATTGATATCTCTTTCTAAGCCAGCCCGTCCGCCGCGCTGTTTCTCTAGAGGTTACCAATGGCTGGTGGTCTTATTTTAGCTTAGATTTACTGACAATGTTTTGTGCACTTAACAATTATCAGATTGTAGCTAGGATCTTTATATTAAAGAGGCTTTGTTATGTGATCAACAACAAACACAGAGGCAATAAAGTATAAATGAGGTTTAATGAACTATACTACATGTAAAACAAAGATATATATATGAAACCAAAATGAACTTAAACAATAAGAAAAGAAGGTAGAAACACAGGGAAAAACACAATTGCTAGCACAGTTAGGTCCTCAGAGACAGCCTACAGAATACACACTTCAGAGCGTCTAAATTTAGATGGAACAGTTTGCATTCAGACCTGGTTAGAGCGGTGTGGGAGCGCGAGCTCGTGGCGTCCTGGGAATAGGAGGCGGGCTTCTTTGATTCCTCCAAGCGTGGTTGTCGCGGGAGATTTAAAAGTTCTAACGCAGTTCTGTATGCGTGAAGAAGATAGTCCTTTCGCTGGGATGCTGGAAGACTAACGAAACGCACGTGGGTATCTCGAGGACCGCACTAAGGACAGACTGGCTATACGCAAAATAAAACGAAGACAAAATAAAACAGGAACAAAATAAAACACGAAGATTACATCGGGATACAGGGAACAGAGAACAGAGAACAGAGAACAGAGAACTTCTGAGTTTGGGGTTTTAAAGATAAACAGAACACGCCTTGGATAGGTGTGTCGGCCAATGATAATGGCCCATCTTGAAGAGAGCCTACGCCCCCCGAGTGGGTCATTCGGAATCAATTTGCATCTTTATGACTAGCAGGGCCTTACGCTTACTTTGGAAATGGCATATATAGGTAGATATATATATTTCACGCTATCGATATACAGCTTAATGAATAGATTAGATTTTTAGTATCACAAACATATCAAACTTCACACTTCACAGACATAATCTTGCAGAGTTACCTCTTAATGCACACTTTCAGGTATTTATAAGTGTGTTACATTCATGAAAACATTCGTAGGACATGTTTGCACATTTATAGTTCTGTTGCAGGTATTTTAATACACCAACTCTGTTTTAATGCCGATTTATAGATAAAAACCTAGGGTTCGTATGTGTGTGTGTGTGAACGTAGGTGTGTGCGTATCTTCATTTGAACATCTGGCACCCCCCTTCTCGCCGGAGAGGGGTGTTAGAGATAACGGTCCTCTTTGATCGTGCCGCGCGAATGAATCGGGCTGGTACGAAGAGGTCTGGGTGTTGTCTCAGGAGGGGGGAATTCGCTGTTTAATGGACATTCAGGACCATTTGTCACCATAAATGTTTGAAAGTCCATTTGCTCTCTAGACTTTTAGGCGCCAGTTTGGAAGGTTGGAGACCTTATCACGGGACCACATGGTACTAGGAATGTGGGTTAGTTAGGGTCCTTTGTTAACTTTTCCTGTTGTGAGTTAAGGATTTTACTACAAGAGAATCAATGATTGTCCCTTCAATCCCTACATATATATATATTGTCCTTGCATTCTTTCTTGTGTGACTCACCTGAATGAAAGGCTCATTATTATGTGGGTCTTTGTCTTCTCAGGTGAGAACCATCTAATTATTCATGAGGGGTTGGGCCGTTCACGCCCATTCGCATATTGCATTTCCAAACAAAAAAATGTTTTTCACAATTTAAAACAATCTATTGTTTTATGTGAATGATTAGGCAGGATGATTTTCAGATCATTTTGAAGCAAAAACTCTAGGCGACAACATCCATTAGTCAAAAGTCTTGTGGACACATATTTAGTATGTGTTTTGTGGCCTTATTTCAGAAACTTTAATTTTTAGTTTTTTTCAATAACCATGCATAAACTATATTCTCTCAAAAATACAAACATGTACATACATGTTGCTCACATATTATGGTAGCCCTGTTTGTGCTAAA